AAGATTATCTTCTGTGTCTGTGTTAATTGGTTTCCCTTTTCTTTGTTGAAGAGGGTCTGTGCAATCCTTCTGCCTAGTCCGCCATCTTGCCCCGCCTCTCCCTGTCTTTAAGGAATACGTTGCCTGCCTTGCAATCTAGGAGACAGATGTAATTAGAATACAGTTGGCCATGTGGTTTTCTGCATCATGATCTGAGTGCAGCAGGAGAGATAGGCACAGACTGCGTGGGTCTGCACAGAAGGTGACAAAGAAATGATACACGGGCCGAGTCGGAATATTAGGGGTTTACAGGTAGACCAGGAAGAGGCATTAGCATGTGCAGAGGCATAGAGGTGTGGAGGAACATGGTGTATTAAAAAAAATGCAAAGTGTTTGGGATGGGAGCGTTGGGGGCCTGGGAACAGTGGGAGCTATGGCTGGAGAGGCCGGTTTTCAGCAGTTGAGCACACCTTTTCCTACACTGCCTGTCTACTTGTCCTCGCAGTTCTCCCGTCACCCAAGCTAAATGGGATCGCCGTTCTCTGACCCCCTTGAGCCCTCAGTCCCCGAACTTACTTGGTGTTTAGAATGTGATGCGTGGTAATGCCTGATATTTTAGATAATGACCGGTAACTTGGTGGTTTAGAAAAAATTCTGCCTTCTACTTGAAAGTGGCTTAGTAGCAGTCTGTTTTATTCCCACCTGCTGCCTTGCCTAAGGAGCTCTGGTGGCACAGTGCCTAAGACATTTCACTGCTAACCAGAAGGTTGGTGGTTCAAACCCACCAGCCACTCTGTGGAAGGAAGATGGGGCCGTCTACTTCTGTAGAGATTGACCACCTCAGAAACCCAGTGGGGGTCGCTGTGAGTTGGACTTGACTCGATAGCAGTGAGTTTGGTTTTTGGTTTTGCTGCCTCCCCTGCCTAAAGTACACAGAGGCAGGGTCTGAGCTTCAGCATTCAGCACAGTGCTTTGCTGCAGTTGGTTGTCAGGAAATACTGATGGATTGATGGACCAGTAACAGATGCTGAGAAACTTGACATATGTATAATACTTTATGGCAATTTAATATGTAGTTTTTTTTTTTTTTTTTAAGAAAAGCTTTTTTCTTTTTTCAGTATTACTTTTATGGACAATCTCACTAACTTCTTTTGGGTTGCAGAGGGCTCCCAGCTCCTGATGCTGAAATGCTGTACATGCAGGAGGTGGAAAGAATGGATGGGTACGGAGAAGAGAGCTACCCTGCGAAGGTGAGTGTGGCACACAGGCTGGACCATTTGTGTCAGCAGTTCTAATGGAGCAGCACGCGGATGCCCTGGTGTGGAAAGGCTGAAGACCAGCAGGAGTCTGACAGCAGAAAAGCTGGGGTTTTGTAGTAACACACCTTCCTTTTTCCGAACTTTGTGTCTTGAAACCTGCTGAGAATACATATACATAAGCATTATGTATTCATAATAATCACCTGGATCTCTTGTTAAAATGGAGATTCTGATTCAGTATATCTGAAGTGAAATGCAAATTCTCAGCAAGGGGTCACACCACACTGTCTGCTTGACACAGCATGTTAGGAGGCCTGACATGACTTTTTCAACTTTCATGTATATTTACATGATGGAACATTTGTACGTTCGGATTTTTTTCCTTTAGAACAGTTACTATGTAGATCTCCTGAACATTTTCACTTTGGGAGACAAGTGGAGTAAGCCGGCTGTCATAGTTTGATGCACGTTCTGTTCCCTAGTGCCACTCTGACAGGAATATACCACAAATGGGATGGCTTGAACAAATTGGAGTTTATATTCTTACCATTTGGAGGCTTTAAGTTCAAGTTCAAAATGCCAGGTTCTAGGGGCTAGGTGAAAGCCCCTCAACCTTAGGTTCCAGCTCTGCCTCCTGCTCCTGGCCCACTGGAGCTAGAGGCTTTTCTTCACTCATCTGCTGGCTGCTAAGACGATAAACCCAAGGTTGATAAGTAAAAAGGCATAGTCCCGATGTTACCAAATCACACGGCAGCCCATTAACTCAAGTCCATTGTAAGTCCCAAGGTCAGCAGAGCATGGCAGGCTGCTGAACAACGACACGGCTACATGCAAGGTTCAAGCGTGCCATTCCCAAAGCTGTTTCATATATACGGGAAGCAGACCACATACCCAAAGGCAGCTACTCAGCTGCTCACAGTAGATTCCACCATGGAGGTGATTGCCAGCCTCATCATGGGGAATACTACATCCAGCTGCCCAGCCACTCAACCAGGCCCAGCCAAATTGACACACACAATTAACCACCGCAATGAATTTGCTTCCAACATGTTTATTTTTCTGCCTCTCCTTTCAGGACAGCCAAGGAAGTGACATCTCCATCTGCGCGTGTCTGGAAGGCATCTTCGTGAAGCACAAGAATGGAAGGCCCCCGGCAACATTTAGGTATATTTCCACATCTTGCTTTAGAGTTGCATCTTCTGTTGCTCCTGTTGGTGCGATTTTTTTTTAGTACCTATGAGTTGGAATTGACGCAGTGGCAGTGGGCTTGGTTTTGGTTTTATACTAGTTAAATTGCTCCCTAGTCTCTCCCAAGTTCTCCTTAGAAAATGGAAATATTCCCTTCCTAGAATAAAATGGGGTTGTCATGAGTCAGAGTTGACATACTTGTATCTTTCCTACCGGGTCTCTAGGAATCAGAATCAACTTGATGTCAGTGGGTTTGGTTTTGGGTTTTCTTGCCAGACAAAGCCTGTTATTTGTTTTGATATATATTTGCATTTGAACTCTGGCTTCCAGGGCTCACTCTTGGGGAAAATCTAGACCTTTCTTCTGACTCTATAGTTGTGTACCAAAAATCTAAGAACATTATAATTACTTTTGTAAATGTTGGATTTCTTTTTCTGATTATAAAGAAGTGGAACTATTCACTTAAAGTTATCTTGTAACGTATGTAGTGAGAAAGACAAAGACCAATTCTGAATGATGAAATTACAAATGATTGAATTTCTTTATTATTAGTCTGTGTTACAGTCTGTATCTTGTAGACAGTAAATTGGTCAATTCCTGCCTTTTAATTCCTTGAAATTCATAATCTAGAAAATCTGAAGTATCATTTTATAGAAACATTGACAGTTTTACTCAAAAAGATTCTATCTACTTTAGTTCTAAAATCTCTTGATGAAAAATAAAAAGGTTGTATTGTTTTTATCCACCACACGTCTGTCAGTTTCTCATACTTTGGTGGCTTGTGTGTTGCTGTGAGGCTGGAGGCTATGCCACCGATATTTCAGATACCAACAGGGTCCCCCTTGGTGGACAGGCTTCAGTGGAGCTTCCAGACTGAGACAGACTGGGAAGAAGAACAGGGCCATCCACTTCAAAGGGCAGCTTGAGAAGGCAAAGCAAAGTATTATAATGAAATGTGCGAGGACCTGGAGTTAGAAAAATCAAAGGAGAAGAACATTTTAGCATTTCTCAAGCTGAAAGAACTGAAGAAAAAATGTAAAGCCTTGAGTTGCAATACTGAAGGATTCTATGGGCAAAATACTGAACAATGCAGGAAGTATCAAAAGAAGATGGAAGGAACACACAGAGTCATCAAAAAGAATTGGTCAGTGATCAGCCATTTCAGGAAGTAGCATATGATCAAGACCAGTGATACTGAGGGAAGAAGTTGAAACTGTACTGAAGGAATTGGCAAAAGCAAGCCTCCAGGAACTGACAGAATACCCATTGAGATCCTTCAACAAATGGATCCAGTGCTGGAGGCACTTACTCATTTATGCCAAGAAATTTGGAAGACAGCTACTTGGCCAACTGACTGGAAGAAATCCATATTTGTGCCCATTCCAAAGAAAGGTGATCTCACAGAATATGGGAATTATTGAACAATATCATTAATATCATATGCAAGTAAACTCTTGCTGAAGTTATTTCAAAAATGGTTACAGCAATATATTGACAGTGAATTTCAGAAATTCAAGCTGGATTCAGAAAAGGACATGGAACAAGAGATATCATTGCTGATGTCAGATGGATCTTGACTGAAAGCAAAGAATACCAGAAAGATGTTTACCTGTGTTTTATTGTCTGTGCAAAGGCATTTGACTGTGTGGTTCATAACAAATTATGGATAACATTGCAAAGAATGGGAATTCCAGAACATTTGATTATGCTCATGAGAAAACTGTACCTAGACCAGGAGGTAGTCATTCAAACAGAACAAGGGGATACTGCATGGTTTAAAATCAGGAAGTGTGTGCACCAGAGTTGTATTCTTTCACTATATTCATTCAATCTGTATGCTGAGCAAATAAGCTGAGAAGCTATACTTTATTAAGAAGAATGCAACATTAGGATTGGAGGAAAACTTATTAACAACTTGTGATATGCAAATGATACAACTTTGCTTGCTGAAAGTGAAGATGACTTGAAGCACTTACTGATGAAGATCAAAGACTGCAATCTTCAGTATGGATTATACCTCGACATAAAGAAAACAAAAATCTTTATAACTGGACCAGTAAGCAATATCATGATGAATGGAGAAAAGATTGAAGTTGTCAGGGATTTCATTTTACTTGGCTCCACAATCAACACCCATGGGAGCTGCAGTCAAGAAATCAGCAAAAGACCTCTTTAAAGTGTTAAGGAGCAAAGATGTCACTTTGAAGACTAAGGTGTGCCTGACCCAAAGCATGGTGTTTTCAGTTGCCTCATATACATGTGAAAGGTGGGCAGTGAATAAGGAAGAGTGAAGAAGAGTCAATGCCTTTGAATTGTGGTGCTGATGAAGAACACTGAAAGTATCATGGACTGCCAGACGAATGAACAAATCTGTCCTGGAAGAAGTGTAGCTGGAATGTTCCTTAGAAGTGAATGGCCAGACTTCATCTCACCTACTTTGGCCATGTTGTTGGAAGGGACTATTCCCTGGAGAAGGATACCATGTTTGGTAAAGTTGAGGGTCAGAGAAAAAGGGGAAGGTCCTCAATGAGATGGACTGACACAGTGGCTGCAGTGATTGGCCCAACAATAGCAAGGATTGTGAGGATGGCACATGACTGGGCAGTGTTTTGTTCTGTTGTACATAGGGTCACTATGAGTTGGAGCCGACTCAGTGGCACCCAACAACAACGTTGTTTTTATAAAGCAGTGAAACATTATTGTGTTATAAATATGTTTTGGTTCTTTTGTGTCTAGCATTTACTGAGTGCTGATCGTGAGCCAGCCCCTATGCTGTGTGGGTTCTGTGTCTTTCCTCATGTAATCCTCACAACTCCGGGCGGTAGGTACTACCGCCATTTCACACATGGGAAAATTGAGGCTTAGAACAGTTAAGAGATGAGTCCAAGGTCACCAGTTATTAATGGGCATAGTCAGGTCTAGAACTCAGATTCTTAGTGTCAAGCCTGAGTTCTTTACCACTGTGTTAAACAGCTTCTTTTATCTCTGCTTTCCACCCTCCCAACCCACTATTCAAGCTTCCTAAATCATCCCTACCATTTTCTCTTGAGTACTGGTTTTCCCTTCTAAGGTCATTTTCTGTAGCCTAACATCTCTTTCTTTTCTTTGCTTTACTGCTTTTTGGACCCTGAGTTCTCACTGTGCTGGTGGCCAGAGAGAGTACACAGGGCTTCAGAGTAGAGCCCCATGGCCGTCTGCATTGCATTGGGACAGGTGGCTCCCCATGGGCCATTGCTCTCATGTCCCCAAGCTGCTTACTTGGTCTTCCCAACACACAGTGTCATCTCAACATGACAAGGTAGAAGAAAACAGATCTGGACTAAGTCAAAAGGCAGAATTCTGACAGTGTACAAGGGGTCACCTGAAAACTGCCTGCCTTTGTCACTGGATAGGAAGTTTCTTTCTTTCTTTCTTTTATTGTGATTTGGGTGAAAGTTTACAGAGTAAATTCACTTTCCATACAGCAGTCCACATACACTTTGTCTCATGACACTGACTACAATTTACCCCAATGCCACAGCTCCTCTCCCACTTCCTCCTGATAGTTACCTCTTCCCTGTGTTCATCCCTCCATGCACTCCTGCCCCCTGAGCTGTCTCCCTGTGCATAAACAACCCTTCTTTCTCCCATGATTGTTCTCTCCAAGGAGTGTATCTACCTTGGGTAATTGTTTAATTCATTTGCCTGTCTTTTGTTTGGCTGGAAGCCACAGGTGTGGGTTCAATTCCAGACCTGAAGGGCAGCTAGGGGCCTTAGTCTCGGTGGTTCCACTAGGCTCTATCAATTGGATAGGAAGTTTTTAATTGCTTTATTTAGTATGGTGCTAAGAATCTTTAGGTTTAACAATTAAACATTGAATCATGGTGAAATTAATTTTAAATAATGTAATTTAATGGGTATAAAGAGGGATAAAAATTTTCTTCCAGACCCATTTTTCTGTTTTATAAAATTACATGAAATATTTATATATAAAATCTAAATATGATATAATAAAACTGGAAAGTACCAGAGAGGCTTTTGACTCCTCTGAGCACAACCACATAGTTCATCCCTTGAACTTCATCTTTACCCAGAAGCTTTTCCTAAGCATCCTTCACCACCCACTTCAGTAGTTATTTAGACCTGTGACACCCACGGTACTTGTTTGCTTGCATGTTCTCTCCCACCCCCTCACCCCCCAGCTGTGCCCTGTGAGGGGATCACTGTGCCTTACTGATCTTAGTACCCTAGGACCTGACACAATTTCTGGCCTTATTGTAATGGAAGTCCTGTAAATGTTTCTTAAATGAATGAATGAGGCCTTGGTGGCCAACTAAGATAGGGATTGAACTAACTAGGCAAATGAGGATAAATTGATGTTGCATCATTTAGTATATACATCTATTTGCTTTTTGCAACCAGCTATTGTAACTTCAGTTAGAGAATGAATGCTAGCTGAATAAAACAAATGTTTCCTTTCTGAAATGCTTAACAAATATTAACTTGTGAATCAGGCTTAGGAAGTAAAATGAGTGCATTCTGTCTCCTGGTGTAACCATGAGCTATCATGTTGCTGCTCTCTGTTTGTTGTTCTTTAGGTGGTCTGACATTGCCAACGTGTCGCATAACAAGTCCTTCTTTGCTTTAGAGCTGGCAAGTAAAGAGGAGACCATCCAGTTTCAAACTGTGAGTAACACGAGTAATCAGCATGGAGAGTGTGTGTGTGTGTGTGTGTGTGTGTGTGTTTGCGCATGCGTGTGTGTGTGGGGGGGGATGGCATTAAAATTATAGTACTTTTAAATTCTATCAAGTGCTATAAAATGTTATATTATTTCATAATATTTTTCATAATAGCACATGGCAAAATGTCAATGCTCAGTAAATATTGTTGAAAGAATGATGGATAAATGTAGAAGCCCTGGTGATGCAGTGGTTAAAGCACTCGGCTGCAAACCAAAAAGGTCAGCAATATGAACTCACCAGCTTCTCTGCAGGAGAAAGATGTGGCAGTCTGCTTCTGTAAAAATGTACAGCCTTGGAAACTCTATGAAGCAGTTGTACTCTGTCCTGTAAGGTTGCTATGGATTGAAATTAACTTGACGGCGGTAGGTTTAGTATAGGTTGGATAAATGCCGTCAGATCATGATGACTTTTAAATTAAACCTGAAGGGCTAGTTTGGGAAAGTAAGGACTGATCTCTTAATTTCCATTGATGGATGAGTAGCGCTGCAGAAATATTTGAACAGTTCTGTGCTGTTACTCTCTTGACAGAGGCAGTACAGGAGGTTCCTGGGGTACATAGGATCTCCGCTTCTGTGTCTTTAAGAATTTGTGGGGAAGCTGGAACAGGTGCATAGGAGTTAGTGCAAGAAAAGGCTCAAAGCCAATGATTTAAAGCTGCACGTGTATCAGGTGAAGGTGATTCTGATGAAGAGTGTGTTGGAAGTAGAGATTGGTTCAGTCTTTTCAGAGTGAAGGCAAGTTCACATAAAATTCGAGGGCAAGTAGGAATAGTCTGTAAGTTAGTAACCTGGGAACTGCAGTGAGTCAGTCAACTGTTTTGTTTAAAGTTTTTAAGTATGTATTTGTCAAGAATAAAACTTGATATTTTCATCACTTAAGAATTTTTAAGTCATTTCAAAACTGCTTAATGTAAGGATTGCACTGCTGAAACATTTTTGTTCTTTTTTCTTGGTAATTCAAATCCTAATTGTGACATTTATAGGATGAGGCAAAGTCCTAGCCTCAGAAAATGAAAGAACCATCGTGTATTAAAAGGACCTTTGACATAATCTATCCCTTAATTGTGGCTATTCTCTGACAACTGCATTAAAAGTATCAAGCTGTGTATGTACTTTCATATTACTTTATCCATTTTTTTTGCTAGGAAGACATGGAAACAGCAAAATATATGTGGAGACTCTGTGTTGCACGACACAAATTTTACAGACTAAACCAGTGTACCCTGTAAGTATTTCCTGCTTATAGACACTGTGGAAAATACTGAATGTCGACATTTTCATTTTGGGCTTCATTTTATCAGCTAAAAAGCAAAGTTCATCAAAAGCATAGCATCTTATTTCTGTGACACTTCTCTCATAGCATCTGTGCTTTTAATACACGTTAAAATGACGTTTTTTAGATTTTTTTTTCCCTTATTTTAGCTTTGGATCAACTTCCAATAACTGTGTCTCTAAGATTCCTTTCAATGGGTTACCAGTTTTTTAAAGGACATTCCTTTTTAACCTTTGGTTCTTTAAAATAATGCAGTGGTCCGTGTTTTGAGCAATTAACGATTATTTAGTCTCTTGAGCCATTTGAAGAATTCACGCCCCCTCTTCCTAACAGGCGTTTGTGTTCGATCTGCTGCGTCGTCCCCAGCGGCGTGCCTGCTGTGCGCTCTCACATCTGAAAACCCGCCTTCTCCACTCCTTAGCCCCTTCTAGCTAAAGCCAGCATCTCCGCTGTCCTGTATAGCAAGATTTTTCAGAAGAGTTGTTTGTACACTTGACCCGTGAACGATGTGGGAGTTTAGGGCTACTGAGCTCAGTCAAAAACCTGCTTGTACCTTTTGACTCCCAAAAAACTTAACCACTAATAGCCTACTGTTGACCAGAATCCCTACCAATAATATAAACAGTCGATTACTTCAGTTTTTGTTGTACAATTATTAGATTTTCACGTGAAAACATATACAACAGGTAAGTTTATTAACTGTACAGCATGATGATGATTTACTGTTCATTAAGTGGATCATCATGAAGGACTTTGTCCTTGTCATCTTCACATCGAGAAAGAGAGGTTGGGTTTGCCAGCTCGGTGGTGGCAGAGGCAGGGGAGGTGGTTGGGGAGGCAGGAGAGGCAGGCACACTTTGTCATAATCTGACACTTTTGCTTTTTCCTTTCTCTAAAGATATTTCTGTAGGGTACCAATCCTTCTTCCACCGTTTGCTTTAGCTTCAGTGCCCATATCTTAGAAGGGCCCGTGTTGTAAAAGAACCTGAAAGCAGTCTTGAATAGTCGGAACCCTTCTGCCAGGTTGTCTAAAGCCAGTTTGTTTTCTGGCCCTGCTTCTACTTGTTCTTCCTCATCTGGCACTGGTTCAGAAGCACTCATCTCCAACAGGTCATCTTCTGTTAATTCCTCTGGCATGGTGTCTGTTTGCTCTAGAATTTCTCCAACATCCCTATCTGGAACCTTCACTTCCCCCCTTTCTTGCCATGGCCAGATCTCTTTCAAAATGATTGCCTTGATTGGCTCTAATGTAAATCCTGTGAAGTCATGCACAACAGTGAAACAAATCTACGTGCAGTGGACCCATGTAGTTCAAGCCCGTTTTGTTCAGTGGTCAGCTGTACTTGCTTTCTCTCCTGTCTTTCATCTTGCCTCCCACACCACTGACCCCACTGACCCTGTGTGTCACAGTCACCAGTGAATGACCTTCGTCCCGTGGTCCATTTCAGGAGTTCTTCCATTCAGCCTCTCAACAGCACTTACCCACTGACTACTCCTTCCTGAGCTCGGCTCTTCTTGGCTGCCAGGACACCATCCTCTCCCGGTTTCCCTCATTCTAGACTGTTTCTTCTCAGTGGCCTTTGCTGATATAAGAGGTCATTTTGACCTCTTCTCTGTCTATACTCAGTCTCTAGGGGATTTCACTTTGTCTCGTGGCTTAAAATAGCATCTGCATAGTGAAGGTGCCTCACACTTTTTTTCTCACCTCGTCTTCTCCCTGAGCTCTCAACTCTTACATCTGCTATCTTCTTCACATCTCCACTTGGGGACGGAAGCAGCATCTCAAATTTGGTATGTTTAAAACTGAACTCTTTTTTTTTTTTTTTTTTTTTTTGTTTTTTTCTTTTTTTTTTTTTTTTAATTTATTTGATTGTGATTTGGGTGAAAATTTACAGAGCAAATTCACTTTCCATACAGCAGTTCACATACACTTTGTCTCATGACATTGATCACAATTTACCACAATGCACAACAAATTACCACTTCCTCCCGATAGTTACCTCTTCCCTGTGTCCATCCCTCCATGTACCCCTGCCCCCTGAGCTGTCTCCCTGTGCATAAGCAGTCCTTCTTTCTCCCATGATTCTTCTCTCCAAGGAGTGTATCTACTTGAGGTAAATGTTCAACTCATATGCCTGTCTTTTATTTGGCTGGAAGCCACAGGTATGGGTTCAATTCCAGACCTGAAGGGCAGCTAGGGGCCATAGTCTCAGTGGTTCCACCAGGCTCTATCAGACCAGCATACCTGGTTCCCCTTTTAAAACTGAACTCTTGACATCTTCTTTTTATCCCTTCATCTAAACGTGCTTCTTCAGTATTCTTTCCCATTCTGACAAAAGGCAACACCTCATATTCACCCAGTTCCTCAGGCCTGCACCTACAAGTCACACCTAATTCCTGTTTCTTTTTGATCCCACATCCAATTCATCAGCTGTACCTTCAAAATATATCTGAAATCTGACCATTCTTATCATTTCTTCTGCTGACAATGTAGCATCACTGCCGTGATTTCTCACCCATGGTATTGGAGCAGCCTCCTGACCCTGTGCTTGCTGTGTCTGAAGCTTACTCCCAGAAGACAGCCAGATAATCCTATTTTAAAGCATGAATCAGATCCTGTCACTCTTCTTAAAACTCTGCTTTGGCGTTCCGTCATACTTACAATAAAAGTACAAGGCTGGATAGGATAAGTCCTTGCTGGCTCCAGCCTCGTCTCCTTTACCCTCCTCCTTGTTCACTGTGCTCCAACCACACTAACACGTTTGCTGATCCGAGAATATATTCCGCCCCCAGGGCTGCTGGACTTGATCGCTCCTTCCGCTTCCTGAAATGCTCTTCTCCTCTCGTTCCCTCACTGAGGTCAGTGTCTGATCAGATGTGCCCCACCTCCTTGACTGGGTAGCCCCCTGCCTGCACTGCCACCTGTCTCTCTGGGTCCCCTTACTCTCTTTTGTTCTTCTACATAGCACTTGGCTCCACCTGAAATGCTGTCTCCATTTGTTGACTTGTTTATTGTCTTCATCCCCTATTTGCATGCAGGTAAGCTTTCTGGCAATGTGTGGGACAGACTTTTTTTCTTTTCTTTTCTTAATTGAAAGTTTGGGAGCTTTGGTAGCATAGTGCCTAAGGCACTTGACTGCTAACCAGAAGGCTGGCGGTTCAAATCACCAGCCACTCCTCAGAAGGAAGATGGGGCAATCTACTTCCGTAGTGACACTGCCTCGGAAACCCAAGGAGGGGTCGCTATGAGTCGGGTCTGACTTGACGGCACATAAC